CCTCAGCCTTTTCTCACAGCAAAGCTGCCCCATTCCTCTTATCATCTTGGCGGCCTGCTCTGGACTCGCTCCAACAGGTCCATATCCTTCCTGTGATGGGATCCCAGAGCTGGAGGCAGTACTCCAGATGGGATCTTACAAGGCTTCCTGAAGCCATTCCATTCCCTAAACAACCTGCATATAAAGAGGGGGGTTTGGTACAAATGTCACTGATGAGACCCCGTTGGACCCCACTGTGCTGCCCACGGACTGACGGCACAGACGGGCACTCCGGGTAGAGACAAGGGAACACAGAGGGACAGAGGGAGACAGGCAGGAAACATCGCCTGTAAACACACAAACACTGCACCAGCACACACAGCACGGCAGATTAATCACAGCCAAACTTCATCAGCTTCACGACAAAAGAGTGCTTTAATGAGGGCCTCAGGGGAGGAGTTTTGCAGACCTGATGGACACGACCAGCACGGACCAAAGTAGGCGGGAAGGACGGACAGCCGCAGCACCAGGCAGACACGGGACTTTTTAATGCCATGACACTGAGCTAGAGCCATTCAGGGAGTTAAATGCCACCTGCAGAAGCCCAAAACTGAACGGTTTTCTTGCAGCGACACAAAGAAGCACCTAGAAAGATTGAGAGGGCTGACATGGGCGTAATAGCAACAAAGATGAAAATTACACAAGCAATTGTCAGGAAAATTTTCCCAGAGACAGCGCTGTAAATGAATAAACACAACAGAGGCGTTAAACAACGCCAGAGAAAACACCACGAAAGTCACCCAGACTGACAGCAGAGACAGGGGAGTGTAAGCCTGGAACTCAGAGATTTACAGAAGTTTCAAGAGGTACAAGAATTCACTGAAGGACACTTCAAAGAAAGAACTGAAATTCAGAGAAAGAGCAGAGGAAGGCCAAGAGATCAGAACTGTAAAACCAGAAGCAAAAGAGGACAGAGCAATGATGCTTAACCCCGAGCGGGAAACGTCACTTGCGTTTCAACAACATTCAGCACCATAAGAGGAAGAAAAGAAATCACAAACAGCTCAGAATAAAACTGGAAAGGAAAATCAACCTCTGTGTGTTCAACAAACCTCAATCAGAGTTTTAAACAAGTTAGTCTGAATACTGGGTAAGAAAGCAAAGGGCACATCAACTGCCCCAGTAAGAAGCAGTTGGGTACCAGGGGTCAGTCTTCACCTCTGCAGGTGAAGTGAGGATGGGATGATACCTGAAAAAAATGTCATATTATAAGCACGATTCTCAAGAAGGAAGTAACTGCAACACGCTCCTTTTTTCCCCTAGAAGGGCAGGATTCAGAGGAACGCAGGAGACCAAGGAAAAAAGGTTGAGAGAAAAATCAAAATTAAAATTAACTTGAAACAGAGGTAATTACTGGAAGCACGTTAGAAAAAGAGATATGAGAGGAGAAACATCTACAGCCGCGGGGAGAGAAGCCTGGACAGATGGATGCTGTGTTTTGTTACCATGCCCGTGGTATTTGTACACCGAAAGCACCCGAAGCTTACGTGATGTTTATAGTAAGAAAGCTTTAATGTCAACTTTCCTGGCGAGGACAGCAGCATGTACTCGAGGCTTCTGCAAGCCCTGAACCCTCTCTCATTTGTTACCTGATTTCTTGGACCATTTTTCTCAGCTTCACATTATGCAAATCCTTTACTCAAACCAGAACAAGCTGCTGGTAAATAAAAAGAGCTGTTCTACAGTGCTCTTCTGCTCCCTTTGACCAAAATAAGAGAAATGTAACGTTTACACGGAAAAGTGAAAAACCTCAGCAGCCTGATAAATAGCCTAAAAAATTCAGAGTGCAGTTAATTTACTCCTTTCCATCCAACACTTACAATTTTTGACAGCAATTCGGCAGAAAAAATTTAAGGTTTCATATTTGCTCATATTTCCACATGGACATCTTCCTTCCATTCCAGGCCTGATTTCTGCAGGATATTCTGCCTCTTGACATACCTTCTGCTCACCAATGCAAATCTCCCCAAAACAGGCTTTTAGGAAACAATGTACAACAAAAAGATACCACAGCTCTCCCAGCTCTTGGCAAGGCTCTTAGGAACGAAAGGAGGAAACGCAGAAGGGAAGGAAAAGCAGATGACAGAGGATGGAAAAAGGGTTGTTTTGTTTTGGTGCTTAAAAAAAATAAAAACACACTAAGCCTCTTCCTTAAGCACTCAGGGCCCATTAGTGTTTTCTGTCCTTCTTTCCCAAAATGATATTTAACGATTTCGGGACAAAACCAGTCTGAGGATAATTCACGTAAACTCAGCAATAATCAGCCCCACGGCCAATAAACTCTTCACCCTCATAGTTTATTTGCTGCTAAGTCTTGGCCTGCAGCCTTGGAATTTATTCTGCCGGCACTATAGCTATTTCCTTGTAAACAGGAAGCCCCCTCAAATTTGCATTACAGTAAACTCATTTGCTTCATTTAGCCTCAGCCTTATCTGGGAAAGATAAAAGGGTGCCGACAGGTGTATGGGCTCCAGCAAGGAGCCAAGACTGAAAACAGAGGTGAAACCTTTAATATTTTCTGAGGCGACAACGTCAGCGGCACAGGACCCGTCCCTGGGCTGTGGTTGCCTGCAGGAGATAAACCAACACATTCCTGCGAGCAGAGAGCTCCAATAAGGCAGGGACATTTATTTTCAAGCGTGGATGTGATATTCCAGTGACCTTCCTGCTGTCTGTCCCAGTGACAGCCAGGACCAAGGCGAGGATGGCTGCGCAGCCAGACGTGACAGAGACGAGCTTATGCTCCTCCGAGGAGCTGCTCACACACACAGAAATAATGAGTATCTGGAAAAACTGTTTGATTTCAAACTCATGTAAGAGAGGACTCGTGTGTGTTGTATTTTTTTTTTGCTGTTACTATATCAACCTGCCTTTAACCAGCCGATTTATGTCATTTTAAATGAATCACTTCACCAGCAACACAGAATATTTCAGTAAACCCAACACACCATGTCTGCTCTAATGAGAGGGATCAAAAAAAAACCAGCCAGAAAGCAGCACGAAGGTATCTGACACCAGAATAACGGTCACAATTTCCTACTGTATGAGGAAATCCCTGGTTTCAGTTAGTAGCTCAGAAGTTCAGTCATTTTGAGCATCCTACAGCCGTTTGTGGTCCCGGGCTGAGGCAAGTCTCTGTTCTCGGTTATGTCTCCTCCCACTCCGGTGCTGAGTGACTGAAATGTCCCCATCCCACAGCACCATGGACTCACAGATGGCTTCTCACCTTCTGCAGAGCACCACAGCCCAGGGGGATGGCAAACCATCCTTTTCCTTCACTATCTCATGCAAACAGGTTCTTCCACAGGCAGCTCTAGGAGCGAGGCATTTCACCTTCACCTCTCCTCCTGCTCCAAAAAATTTCCTCTGGCACGTGGCTGCATTTCCCACCCTGCTGAGCCAAATGCAGGTGAACCATCTCTCCAAGCTCAGGAAAACGACCACTGAGACAAGGCAAAAAACTGGAGCAGGAGAGTAGAGCACAGCAGGTTCCTCGGGCCTCGTGCTGTGCTACAAGGCTTCCCCGCGCTGGGCACGATGGATGTCAGTCCAGGCAACAGCTTTCCAGCCTCCCCACAAGCGCCAATGGTGTCCTTATTTCTCATGGCACTGGAAGGACTATTCCTCCCCTGCACACCCTCCACATCCCACCCTTCACCTGCCCAGAGGGGTCATGTCCCTGCTGGGAACAGGGAACAGCACTGCTGCACATCACTGACGGCAGAACTGACATCACCAAAGCACTGATAAATGTGAAGCCACCAGCACCCCCAACAAAGCTGTACCTCAGCCTAACAGGGTAGCCAAAAATTTATGGATATTGTATTATTTTTGAAAGTGTAAACACATACCAGGAAGAAAAATGGGCACCTTCGTCTGTCCAGTAACACCATCCTCAACCAGACCTCAAACTCAGCAGCAAAACTTCTTTACCTGACGTCTCAGTGCCCCTGCAAGGGGGATAAACGTGGGCTAGGCACCCTTCACCTTCCCCTGATCCACAGCCGCCCTGTCCTACCCAGCATTCCAGCAGAAAGGCAGGAAAACGAGTGTAGAAGTGGGAAGAGGGCTTCAGCGATGCCTGGCTCACGGCAGACAGCTCGGCTAGGCCACCAGCAGGCTTCCAAACTGCCTACACATTCTGCAGTAAAATTCGGTTTAGATTCTTCCTGTTGCAGTATTTCGTTTGCTGGCTAAATCTTCATTTTTACTATACATATACACATCCAGAGCCATGAAAGAGAGGGAAAGCTCAGTTTTAATTTCAACGATAAATAAGCGATGCTCAGGTGATTTTATAACACAAGCATAACCGGGGAAAAAAGCTGTTTTTTCAGACGAAAAGCTGCTTTTACCACCAAGCGCTAAGCAAACAACCTCAGCTGTGCCAAGGCACCCGTCTGCTCCCGCGGTGAGATCGGGGAAGGTCGGGGCGAGGGAGTCCAGACCTGCCCCAGCACCTCTGCTCCGTGAGCTGCCTGCTAAGGGAGACCTCGGCTCCGTCCTCCTCCCGCAGCCCCTGTCAAACCTCAGGAAGCATCACCAAAAAAAATCGCTCTGCAGAGCAACACGGCCAGAGCGGCTCGGTTTGGTGCTACCGGTTGATTTAGACAGAATTTCTCACCCGCTGGACGGAGCACCGGGTTCGGGATCCACAAAGCCCCGAGCTCGGGGGATTCATCCCCGGAGAGCGGGGTATCCCCCGCTAAGCCGCCCGAGGGACGCCCGCAGAAGTTGTGCCAAATAAACACACGCATCCAGCACATCCAAAACACCCAACACATCCAGCACGCACACGGAGCACAGCCAGCCCGGCCCCGCGCCCGCCCCGGCCGGACCCGGTGCCTCGGAGGCCGCGGTGCCCGGGCACGGCCGGACCGTTATGTGCGGCCCCGGGGAGGGGGCCGGGGGGCCGGGCCGGGGCGGCCGCGCAGCCGGGGCCGCGGCGGGGCGGGCGGTACCTGGGCTCGGGCAGGGTGATCTTCTTGCTGGCCCTGGCCGCCGGGGTGCTCTTGCTCTTCTCCATCGCCATCAGGTAGCTGACATCGGCCAGCACCGCCTCCAGGTCCGCCATGTTCCCGCTCCGCCGCCGGGCTGCAGATGGAGGCTCCGCCGGGGCAGCCGCCCCCGGGGCGGGGGTTGGCGGCGGGCGGCGGCGGCGGCTCCGCCGGTGCGGCCGAGCGGCTCCCGGTGCGCGTGTGCGGAGCGCGGGGGCCGCTCCCGCCTCCCGCCCTGCGCCCCGGGCGGGCGGCAGGAGGGACGGACGGACGGAGGGAGGGAGGGAGAGAGGGAGGGAAGGAGGGAACCCCCGCCGCGCCCCCTTAGCGCCCGCCCGCCCCCGCCGGGCCCATGGCGGCGGCCGGTCCGCCCCCGCCGCTCGCAGCCGGCGCGGCCCCGCGCGGGCGGCTCGGGGCGCGCTCGGCGGCCATGGGCGGGCCGGGGCTGCCCGGCGCTACCGGGGAAATCCGGCCATGGAGCGGGCGGGGGGGGCCGGAGCGGGGCAGCGCCCGCCGGGATCCCGGGGACGGGGCGGCCGCGGCCCGGGGTGACCCCGCACCGAGAGGAGACGGTCCCGGCCCCCGAGGGCAGCGCGAGGGTCCCGGGGTTCGGGGTCTCGGACACGCTGGGGGATTCCATCCTGTGAGGGTGGGGAGGCCCTGGCACGGGTTGCTCAGAGCAGCTGTGGCTGCCCCATCCCAGAAGGTGTCCAGGGCCAGGTTGGACAGGGCTTGGAGCAACCTGGGCTAGTGGAAGGTGTCTCTGCATATGGCAGGGGGGTTGACTAAATGATCTTGAAGGCCCCCTTCCAACCCAAAGCACTCTGTGATTCTTTGGTTCTGCAGAAGGGGAACACCAGAGCCAACACCGGGCACATGGGGCGAGGAGTGCGATGGCTGCCTGCAAACATCAGCACCCAGTCAAACGCGTCTCTTTAGAATTAATTTCCTCATAGTTTATTAAAACATATTCATAAGAAAAACAGGATACAAACAAATTCATCTGTGTGACACCCCATTATTTCTCACTGAACCACTTGCAGGCAAATAATCATGCAAAGCAAGGCACCCAGGTGTCCTCTGCTCCAGCAGAGCTCCCCGCTCGTATTCCTCCTTAATGTAGTAGTAGCTCCACTGCAGCCAAGCAGATATGCAGATTTCAACTGCCTTCTTTTCTGAATTTCGTCAAATATGTCATAAATAATTGGCTCAATGAAAGGCTAAGTCAATGACAAGTCTGAAGTTTGAAACTCAGCATGTTTTGAGCTCTTTTCAAGTGCCGCCACTCCTCCTGCCTACATCTTTATGAAAGTTAATGATCTGATTAAAGCAAGGTAGAGTATACAGCTGGGAGGATTTCACCATGTGGCTCATTATGAACCGTCTGAGAACCTGCTTTTTGTTAAAAATGTTAATTTAGGCCAACATTTTTCACCTGAACAGATCCACTGGGGAAGGTTTCTTCTCCAGTGGCCATAGAGCAGAGCTGAGGCTCAGGGTGTCCAAATGAGTGGAAGGAAACGGGGAAGGACCTGGGGCGTGTCCCTCCTGGTTGCTCAGGGTGAAGTCTCCCACCAGCCCTGTTTAAAGGTTTCACTGAGCCGAGCTGAGATGGAAAGGGGTATTTTTATCTCTTGAAATCCTCTGGGCTGGCAGTGAACGCTGGGGCTGGCTGTGGGCCGTGACACGGTTCCTGTGACTCCTCAGGCTCAACTCAGACTCACAGCTCCCACTGCAAAGTTTATTCCAGTGCCTCTGCATGGGCTCTTCACTTGCAGGCATGTGCTGGGAGAGATATTGCCCCCAGACATGATGATTTCAGGTCCTTTCCAGGTCCCTTCCATGGTGCCTCTCCCCGAGCCTGGCAGAGCAGTCCTGCTCAACCCTCCACTCCTGAGAGGTCCCATGGTGGCTGTGAAGCCATCCAGGCTCCTGCAGCTGCACACCCTCATTAACACCTGCAGAATTACTGTCTAATTAAATAAGTACATCAGAATACATGTAAATACATCAGTACACATGATGGCCTCTGCTCTAGCGTAATCCACCAAGGCAAAACCCACGGTCTGTGCCTCATCTGTGGGATCATTTTAGAGCTTTAAAATGTTTGTGTTGATGAGAAAGGCTGGCATTGTCTAGTGACAGGTCCAAAAGTGTTTGGCTCTGCTGTTCTAAGGAATATTCTGTTTAGCCACGAGTAACTATTTGCCACCCTTACCACATCCTTAGCCTGATTACGTGAGCAGACGTGCCTTTTGCCAGCTCTTCCGAGGGGACTCCCAGGGTTTGGCTCCTGCAGCCCCTCTGCCCATCACTCACTGATATTTCCACAGAAAGAGCTGGGTTTCCTTTCCTGAAACGTGACCCTGCAGAAGCAACAGCTCCACAAGGAGGATCTCAGTGCTCACCTGACAGTGTTGCCAAACACCCCAAGCACAGGCAAACAAACCGTCTCTGCCCAGAGGAGGAGGGCCCAAGTTTGCTGAGATATTTAAATGGCTTTACTGTGCTGGTGACAGCAATAGAAGTTACCAAAATGCCACTTAGGATTCCCAATGCTCTCCTATTTATTCCTGTGCTACATTTTCACCTTTTTGTCTGGATATTATTGTTGTGTACACATCAAAGACATTCCTGCTGACAGTTTCTAGGAAGTCAGGAAGACAGCCAACTGAGTTAAGGAACTTGTTTTCTTCTTTCTACTTCTGGGTTTCCATCAGTGCTGATGTGGCAGCAGCAGCTGGCACCAGAGTGGAGGTGGGTTATAAGAAAAGGTGTTCTCTGCACCATTTATTTCCCAAGTGTGATTGCAGTGCAGTTGGAGGTAGTGGAATATCCCCGCAGCCACCCTGGGCACTGGCTGGGGAGGCAGCACAGCTCTGGCTATTCATGCTCACCTCTAGCATGTAAACACCTCTAATGTGTAAACACCTCTAGTGTGTAAAATACATATTTTTTTAGTGATATATTCCAGTATTTTCAAGGTCACTGGGATGAGCATTTTTTAATTACAGGGTGGAATCAAGTGGAAGCCAAAACAAGTAGAACAGGCAGTGCCAGCCTCCTCCTTTGCAGGGAAGTTCAACTCCCCAAGTGCAAGACTGCAGTTTTCTTTAGCCTGTGTTGTATCCCAGGCCGTGTTTGTGCTGTTCTTTTGTGTTGTTTTATGCCGTGTGTGTTGGTTTTGGTGTTTGCATGTGTTTATAAACAGTGCTTTATGCCTGCCTTGGGATTCCCCCAGGTAAAGGAAACCCAGAGTTAATCGATGCCAGGGTTAGCAGAGGTCAGAATACGGTACACTCTGAATGCATTTAAGTATCTCCTGACATTTCTGTGGATGGTGATTGATACTGCTCAATCAGTTTAAGCCTGTCTTGAGGCCTGGCTGGGCTGGAGTGCCGGGGTTCATGTGCAACCACTTCAGAGCCAAGAAACCAACCTCCCCTTGCCGCTCCTTCCTTCCAAGGAGCAAGTTCCTCCTATCGTCTGTATAAGATTTAAATGTTTAATTACGCCCTGCTCTGCTTCACAGGATGACAGATGATGTTACAGACAGTAATGAGGTTATCATACGTTTATTAGTGCGTCCTGCATTAACACCATCCCATCCAGATAATGGTGCAACGTGTTACACCAGGACAGAGGCACATCCATCCTGCTGCCCTCCTTGTGGCCAATCCCATATCAAATAAGATCCCTGCTCTATGCATGGCTAATGCCAATAACATACCTCGAGGGGAACGTACACACAGAAGATTATTAAATCCTACTTTTTAATACTATTTTTACTAATATTTATCATGTGTTACCCAAAATGCTCATAGGTTGAGATTAAGAGCATTAAGGAGTGTTTATCTCGGTTCCCTCCATGGGATACTGCTGTCTACAGAGAGAGCAAGTTCCTTGCTCTTCCCTGGCAGCACTGGGGGAAGACAGTTTATCAGTGACGGATCCCAATTGGACCAGACTCTGTGGGTTGTTTATAGCCAAGCAGAAAGGTTATGTTTTGATGTTTCCTCCACTTCTGGCAGTATTGTCTGGGGTGCCTGAATGAAGGGAAGAGGGCAGAACCCCTTTCACCACACTCCCCAGTGTTCCAAATCAGCTCCTGAGTGCAGGGTTACCTGGAGGGGAAGCAGCTCCTGCTTAACGAGGTTGTGTGAGGATTCATTAGGCAGCAACAGTGAAGTGCCCAGAGGCACTTCTCAGTAGGAGAGGAGTAAATACAAACTATTCCTGGGAAAAGTGGGGCAATGCCATCCCTCCTCAGGCCCCCACGCCCCCCCCATCCCTCCCTGCAGCAAAGTCAGCCTCACCCCCACTGCGCTCAGCCGAGTGGACACGGCGGAGAGGGACGGTGTTAGCCCCACATCCCAAGGAAACAGCCTCATTCTGCCCCCTTTGCCTGTCAAGTTCTCTGCTTTGCCATGCCCCGGGGGGGCTTTGGCCCCTCTCCTCCCACAGTCCATGCCAATCCCACAGGCATTCCTCTGCAGCATCCGCACCCAGGCTGGGGTTGCATCCCATCTCCTTAATGCTGCGCTAATAAGCAGTGAGAGGCAACGTGGAAAACAAATAGAGTAATTAATGGCCATTTCTGCTGCTGCTTTTAGTCACTGTCTATTCCAGAAGGAGCAGTTTTACAGAAGAAGCCTCTGCCCTTGCAGTGCCCTCGCATTAGGCGCCCTAACTCTCCAGAGGAGGGGAGTTCCACAGCTTTAGTCTCCTGGAGAAACATGGTGGGTCCTCTGCATCTCCATAGATTCCTCCAGCTTTCTCCTGAATACTCTTAACAAAGGTACTTCAGCCACCTCAGAAAGGTAAAGCCTCGGTGCAGCTTATCATCATCACGTTCCTTTTTGCAAATAGCTGACATGATGAGGAGGTTGGGTTTTAATTAGGAAACAAGTGGTAATTCAATTCTCAAAAATATTATTCACCATCAAACATTCATACTGGCATAGTCAGACTAGCAGTAATAATGTCCTCTGGGGGCAGAGATAAGAGCAGAGTTGAAAGTCATGTAACGTCTATAAAGTCTTGCATGAGAAAACACAGGCACGAGAGGTCTCGGGCCCCCACTTGCAATTGCATCACGTTATTGTAATAAAAATATCTTTCTGACATTTTCCTCTGCACATTTTCTTACCCTGACATGCCACATAGCCATGTCCTGGTGCTGCCTCCCTCCTCAGTCCATGCCTTGCCAGCTGC